CAGCTACCACACACTTCGAGTGAAAATGACTTAGGTATTGTTGTTCAAGAGGATTTAAGCTGCTCCACCAATTGCGCCAAGGCTTCGTCCGCTGCTATGAAGAATGTCGGCTTACTTCAGCGAGTCTTTGGCCGGTTTCAATCATCACTATTACCACGTTTGCTATCAGTGTACATTCGACCCTACACAGATTACGTCATCCAAGCTCGGAGTCCATGGTTTCAACGTGATCGCAAGGTGCTTGAGCGTCCACAAAGGATGGCCACCAAGATGGTCAAGGGATTGCATTACCTGACATATGAGAGATTACGATCATCGGGACTATATTCTGCTCAGTAAGGCCGAAATCGGGGAGACTTGACTTTGACGTATCAAATACTGAAGAACCCAAACCATCCGTGTCGATCGCTGCTCATGCTATCGAACAATGTACACCTAATGGGACACCGTTTCAAGCTACTGATTTCAAATTGTCGACTGGAATGCAGGCACCAGTCTTTTGCAGTCAGAGTATGCAGTTCTTGGAACGCCCTTCCATCTCACGTCGTTTGTGCACCCACTATTGAATCTTTCAAGCAGAGACTCGATGAAACCTTGGCACACATCACATTCGTACGCCACTAAAAGCAAACGCAAATTCATTCTCTATTATTTACCACCCAGAACTCTATATGACTTCTTTTTCGGTGTGTAACGATTCATGTGTAAATATCCTATGGGGACAAGAGAAGCATGAGCTTGTAAGTTATTCCCATAATAAAACTGACTTTAGGCTTGGAATCCATGGCTAATTCGCGACCAAAAGGCACTCGAATGTCCGCACAGAACTGTAACCAAAATTGTCAGACGGTAACAGTCTAAAACCTACGGTGAAAGCTTGTATATTCTCGGACTCTACTCGTCTGAATACCGTCGAATGCGGGGAGATATGATCCTCGTAGATCACATACTACATCAACCTAACCACCCGTGGAGTGCTCAACTAACAATGTCTAGAGATGATCACCTCAGAGGACATCCGTTTAAACTTTTGCTCCAAGAGTCGCCTAGAGTGCAGGCCTCACTCTGCCGGTCTCAGAGTTTGTGATAGCTGGAGCTCTCCTCCACCTCAAATTGTTTGCGTACCAACCATGAATTCATTCAAGTCAAGGTTCTATGAAGCATTGATACACCTAACTTTTCAGCACCTGTGGGTGAACGTTATAATTTATTTCATTGTAATACCCACCGAACCCAATGTGTGTATAGATCCTATGGGATTCAATAAGCATCAGCTTTGTAATTTACCCATAATAAAATTTTTAATTTGGATTTGAAACTTGTTGGAGATTTAGACATTCATCATCAGGAACAGTTGACACATTCTTCAATTACTTCGTCTGATTGGGGAACGAAGTTAAACATTTCGCCTTGGTCAACAATCTGAGCCAGTTAGTTGAGCTCCAAACATACGTGTTCTTGATCGAGCGGACAATCGTGCCCACACCCTCGATCTGATTCTCACTTCGACCCCTTCTTTCTTCTCAGCTATTTGTACTCTCCCTTCGCTTCGGCTCATCGGATCACTGCCTTATTCCTTGCTGTATCGAGTTCACCAGCCCCGCACCTCGAGACATTTTGTTGCCACGGCTCGGCCAACTGAAGTTCCTAGCTTGTTATCCTTGGAACAATTATCATTGTTTCACTTCGGACGTTTCCAATTTCACTGAAATTGTTCTTCTGGGCATGTACCTTTTCATTCCGCACTTGTCCAAACCCGGCAAACCACGATCCTTCGAGTGGTTTAACCAAGTATGCGACCGTGATGTACGCTTAAAACGTACAGCCCTTCGCCGCCTCCCACCATCGCTTTGTGCAAGCTAGAAACAGGTGATCGACAATCATACAGAGATTCCGCGAACGCTTCATCCACTGGAAATTCGAAAACTCGGTCTCGTCCGACACCAGTAGTCGAATATTTCGGACACTAGCCAAAGCAAGTTCCACGATTTCTGCCCTTTCGATTTTTCACCATCTGTGATTCCTCTGGCGATCTTGAACTTTGATCACAAGATAAAGCTGAAGTTTTCACGGCCAACTTCACCTTACACAATTATCCTATTCGTCCGCCTTCTCATTTACAGGCAATCCTTTCCTATCGCTCACTAGTGTTGTGAAGTACTACTCCCACTTTTGAGTAGTTTGCACGCACCAAGAAACGGTAATTAAATTCATACGGAATTCGCGAGTGGATTGAAGGATTTACTTTTGTAACTAATTAAACAAGTACGTCTACTGACGGACCGTTCCAGTAATTATCCTGTGTTTTGGGAATTCTGAGGACTTGTCCCAAATGAGACATTTTTTGTATGTATGCCAATTTAACGATAGTCTTAACATTATGTGTAAAAACTTTTATATTCCCGGCACCATCTTGTGGATTTATAACGCTAGTAGTAGTAGGAATATTCGCCAAGTACGGTACGGCACCTCCCAATCCCAAGCCAAACCACCGGTCCGAACGGTATTCCACTCATCCTCAAAATGTGCCGGCTTTGATTTGACAATCATCGCAACTACCCTGTGATGAAAAATACATTCCGAATATCGTTTTCCATACCTGTTACATGGGCTCATCCCGTCCCTGATCACAGATAAACATGTGAAGCGCAATTCCGATCGAATTCCGTCTGTTAAATCATGCACAGACAGAAGACTCAAAATTCACGGTATAACAAACATACTTGGCTTGAACTTGAATTGATGTTACACAAGTTGGGTGGATGGTGGTTATCGAAAACAGCTCCCACTTCATTCACCCAGTTGAAAACAATCGCTGAATGGTTGATCCCCGTCCCCCGTACGTAGTAAGTACGAATCGAAGAAATAGATCTGCACACCTGGGCCTGTTCTGTACAAAACCAAGCTGTTCCAAAGACACTGAACCCTCAGGGATACGATACTGTAGTTGCATTACTTTTGCGATTTTCCAGCATTTCGCACTTAGGCTGTTTACTTTGAGTGCTGTACACTGACATCCGGAAGATGGTTATTATTGCACTTCGTCCAGAAGTACAGAGGAGATACGGCGGAAAACAATGTGAGAAATAAGCCTTCCGGTCGATGTATTTCACACCTGGTTGTGGAACAAATCATGGTACAATAATTCGAAAGCCTCAGTATGATCGGGGTGGATGTTTGGGATTGTGACTGGTCACCATTCCCTTACACCTCGCGAAATGCTCCTATATGACCTATATGTCTCAGATAGCCTTCCCGTAGTGGTATTTTCCCACCAAAATGAGAGAACGAAAAACCGACATCCATAACCAGGTTGTTAAACCATTGGCAGTTCACCTAAGGGGGATGGCTAAAAACCTTGATTCCAAAGTTTGGTGACGGCTGCAGGGCTCGAACCTCAGGCTATTGAGTTCAAAGCGCGCCAGTGACAGTGGATAAACCACTGCGTCACCACCACCCATCTTGAAATGATTCATTTCCTTACCCGGCTGACCGAGGTCAATTACCGCAGGATAAGCTCATTGTAGTCTAAATCTCACTCAGACAACGGTCACAGGCATAACATTCCCGGGGAGGATGAGTCGAAACCCCACTAGTGAAAATTTCCTCCTGGCTCCGTAACTTACTCAAAAATGTGGAGATTAGTTCATTCCAACTAGATGGGTTCTTGGTAGATCCGGTCCCACTGGTGACGGGCAGCGGCCAAAGCACCAATCACTGTGGGCTCCTCGGTTAAGCGTAATTGGTAGACTAACGGGAATTTATGGTGGATTGGCTTGAAAGCATAGTGAACATACTATCACCGGCTCCGTGGAGCCGACCTCATTGGCCAGGCTACTTTTTCGGAACGCCTCCCTGTGTCTGAAAGATTATTGCTAGGGACAACATTAATGTTATTTGGGTAGCTACATCTTACCTGAAGGAAAAACCACAGATGAGGTTGAATCACGCAAACAGAGCGTTCAGTTGGGGGTTATCTATTTGAGAAACCTATAATAAAATCTCGATATACACACCTGTAACGGGTAGTTTGGTTTCCTGGCTGAGAACTTCGATATTAGTGCTGGGGAGTGGTTGAGCGCAGTGCATCTACTCAGTTCCCTTAGAACTGTTTAAATTGTTTTCACTCGAATTTTGCTTCCAATATCCTAATTTCTTGCCTAAATGGCTCACTCCAATGGGCAGGCAAAAGCAGAGGCGCAAAAACGAGCTCCAGGGCCATGTAGACTGATAGTAGGCTTCGTCGGCTAACTAACGGGGACGATCGATCGGATATGACCGTAATCTGCTGTGAGCAAGCTGAACCTAAAATCAATCTTTATGCAAAAACATGGCGCCGATGCGATACCATCATTGGGAGCCTGTGACAACCACCAAGTTTGCGAGCAAGCTCCTTCCCGGTCGACTTGAGGTTCGAAATGACCGTTAAACAATAACCGGTAAGCACAAGAAAACTTCTCAGCTTTTATTTTTGCCCGCTTCTTATTAGATCTCATTGAGATTCGATGTCCAGATATAGTGCTCATGAGCTGGTGTTCCGCTCTTGTTCAACTGCCTCGAGCTTACCAAGGAAGCTGTTAAAGCTGCGTCGAGGCGTTTTCGAGACGAGAGCTCTGTAGTCAAGGCCTGGGTCAATACAATGAACCAATGGATTGGGATATACGGTTGATATGTCAGAAGGGGCAGAAAACGTTTGAACGTCGCAATTACCCGGTAGAGGGAACAAAACGAACCTCGTACAAGACGTCAACACAAAAGTTACTCCTCGTAATTGTGTGATTCTGACACCTCGGATTACATGCAAACTTTGTAGATAATGTACTTATACCTAGACTAGTGGATGGCATGCACTGGAGGTTAGGTCCGGGAGCGTATCAGTCAGTCTGCATTTCCGCCGTGATCAAACAACCTGAGGTCCGAGAAACACCCCAATTTACGAAGCCACCAATACGAAATATGATGACGACACTTTATTCAAGGTGAAATGTAAAAACATGAAATTATTTAGAACTTGTGTATTTGGTGACCGCTTTGGTACCCTCTGAAACGGCATGCTTCGCGAGCTCACCAGGGAGAAGTAAACGCACAGCTGTTTGAATTTCTCTACTTGTAATAGTTGACTTCTTGTTGTACTGTGCAAGACGACTGGCTTCTGCAGCAATCCGTTCAAAGATGTCATTGACAAAGGAATTCATAATTGACATCGCCTTTGATGAAATACCGGTGTCTGGGTGAACTTGGCGCAGGACTTTGTAGATGTAAATTGCATAACTCTCCTTCCTCCTGCGTTTCTTCTTCTTATCGGTCTTTGGAACCTTAACTTTGGAAGACTTCTTTGCAGCTTTCCCAGAAACCACCTTCGGAGCCATACTTAAAATGGCCGCAGCAATGTCACACCCTTTGTTCAAATCACGCGGAAGTATTTCAGGTCAGGTCAGGTCAGTCAGTCAGTCAGTTCACTTCAGTTCAGTTCAATTTGCACAGGACAGTAGTGGCCGAGACCAATCGTGCGTCCAGATATTTGTATTGTCAGC